TAAGCCAGTGTATATAAAGTGTTAGCCAGTGTATATAAAGTGTAAGCCAGTGTATATAAAGTGTAAGCCAGAGTATATAAGGTGTTAGCCAGTGTATATAAAGTGTAAGCCAGTGTATATAATTTGAAGAAATATTTGTTTCATTTCAGCAACGAAGACCAAGAAATTAGCAGAGAAAGCTAAGGAGGTTATCAAAGATATTGTCAAACCCAACTTTACCCCTAAAGCACCAAAAAAGGGGAAGAAAAAGGTAAGAATTAGAGCCAAGAGGGTAAATATAGAAGTGTTTGGTTTGTTACTGGAGTTGCAAGAGGGAATTTCTCTGTTATGTACTTCACAATAGATATTCATGTAGTCCATGATCTCATTCTGATTCCTTTCAAATTAAAGTACTGAAAAACAGTCGGTTTTTGTAGCCACACATTCAAATTAAGCTTGGTCGATTGGGCTTTATTGAGTTTGAGAAATCAGTATAATTTTTACGCTGTATTAAAAGTTAAAATGTTACTAATTGAATCATTTAATCATCAGACAAATTTAAACAGTAGCATTCTGGAATGTATCGCATGTCATATCTTAATGAGTTCAATGGCGAATAGATATAACTAAAACAGGATTTAGGAAATTGAGCCTGGTTGTGAAATGGAGAGGCATATAGTGTTGCCCATGTCCATCCCGTCCCCTCCCATCCCCTCCCTTCCCGATTCAATGTAAACACCCGTCCCGTCCCGATTCAATGTAAACACCCGTCCCGTCCCGATTCAATGTAAACACTTAGCAACTTCATTCTTTTGACAGATTTTGGTCAAACTTTATACAAAGGTACAACCCTCCATAAAATGGAGTTGGGGGCATATTGTATTGTCCATGTCCGTCCCTTCCAGATTCAATGTAAACAAAGGTCAAGTATGAGTATACTTCGGACATCGTTGTGTTTCAGGGAATCAAGGTCAAGGTCACACTTGCTATATATAGAAAATCATCAACTGATTCAATTTAAACACTTAGCAACTTCATTCTTTCACGGATTTTGGTCAAACTTTATATAAAGGTCAAATATGGGTATACCTCTGACATCCTTGTGTTTCAGGATGATAATAACATACAGAAAAAACATGAATATTAAAATCAACTGATCAACTTTAAGTGTAGTACCTTGTGTGTGTGCATATTTCAGGGTATCAAGATCAAAGTGGTTGTAACTTTTTATAGAACACTGAAACTGATTTCACATGGCAGCGAGGGGCATTTATGTCTCCATTGTCTAGTTCTAGTATGACAATTAACTTATGATAAATTGCAGGAAAAATTCTATATTTTTTGAGAACCTTTGCTTTATCACAATTTATAACATTGACAGAAGAAAAAGAAGGGGCAGCAGTCAGTAGAGGATTTTGAGGCTCCACCCCCACGCCTCACGTTAGCGGACATCACGGATGAAATAATTGTCAGCAGAATTGATGAAAAGACCATGAAAATGGTATGTACATGATTGTTCTTCTAATGAAAGGATTCAATTTGGTAAAGAACATAAAAAGATAAATGTTAACTTAGCATGTTTGCATACTGTATACTGGGATATTTTCACTGCAGTTTAATTTTCGCCGTTTTCTCCCTCCTAAATTAGGGCACATTTATTATTACAGTGAATGTAAGTCGACAACGCAACTAACATAGTAATTAAGTATGAAGAGCGAAAGTAACCTGGGCGGAACTTGACATCATCGGCGTAGGGCGAAAGTTTGATTGGGTGAAAAATGTCCAGTATACAGTAATATTTGGCAGATATTTTAATTCTTGATCTTTTCAAGAGATGTAATGATAAAATACATGTCTCATAAATGATTGGTTTAGAGTGTATTGTAAATGTTGTAGTTGTGTAAGGAGGCTGATATCTGTCAAATCAATCTGGAGATGGAACGGTGTAACGAAAAACTTGACAACATCGAGGAGAGGATTGTACACTTAGATGGTAAGTAGGAGGCATATAGCCTTTTACTCTTCAGGTTCCATTGACTAAGATTTCAGGTACTTCCTTGCTTGTTGGAATTTGCCAATTATCATTTTAGTATGAACCACAGTTTTAAATGAAAACGTCTTTTGGTGGGTTTTTTTATTTTAAAAGAGTCCACATTAAGACTATGGTATTATGAACATTTTTAAGTTTCTTAAATTTATTATGCATTTTGAAAGTAAACAATAATGCATGTATAGTATTAACACTAATGATTCTAGGTTCATTGCATGTTTAACTGTATTCTGAAGTAGGAAGAAATAATACTGTATTTATCCAGCAACAAGTCTATGTCAGGTTATGAGCCCACCCATATCTATTGCTGTCCAGTAAAAATTCCAACAGGTACTACCTCTAATAAACCCGCCTCCTTACTTTAAGCCAGAGATTATATGTCACCCATTGCATTCTTATTTTGCATATTATATTTATCTGTAATGACCGTTGACCTTGACCCCATGTAGTTTCCATTTCTGAACATGGATATGAAGCAGTAATATGAAAATTTATCTAAAATGACCACTGACCTTCTTAACAATTATGTGTAGCAATGGTATTAATGACCTTGACCTCTGACCTTTCAGGTGAGAAGAACATTTTAGGCATGTACTGTATGGAGGTGTATTTCCTGGAGCAGTTGAACAATCAGAAGCCAGTGGATTTCCGCCGAGCTCAAAGCGCCCTCTACAACAAAATCCACCCACATCCTGTAAGTACTGTTTCTTCAACAAAATCCACCCACATCCTGTAAGTACTGTATCTTCAACAAAATCCACCCACACCCTGTAAGTACTATATCTTCAACAAAATCCACCCACATCCTGTAAGTACTGTATCTTCAACAAAATCCACCCACACCCTGTTCGTACTATATCTTCAACAAAATCCACCCACATCCTGTAAGTACTGTATCTTCAACAAAATCCACCCACATCCTGTAAGTACTGTATCTACAACAAAAGCTGCCATTAAGCTTTGTGAGGATTTTGGAAACTTGAGAGGGAGAACTTTTTATAAAACTGTTAAAAGTTTTGATGGGACATATTATGGTATCAGTAGTGTCTGTCTGTCCATCAACGCTTTGGATGCGTATTCATGAACAGCTCTCATGATCAAATTGATTTTGTGCTCAAGCCTATTTTCTCATTTCAATGAAATATTGATAAAAATATCTCGTTTTATCAATGAATTGGACGTATTTTGAAGAGAAAAACATGAACACCATTTTTAGGTCACCTGAGCTTTGCTCAAGTGACCTATTCCAATCGCTTTTCGTCCGTCGTCGTCCGTCGTCCGTCGTCCGTCGTGCGTCGTGCGT